CCGGGACCCCTGGACCCACTCTATGGCGCCGTGCGCCGCTTCCTCTCCGTGGTACAGCTCAACCCTTTCCCCTCGGGTGAGTGTGCCCTCCCTGGTGGACCTGGGCTGGCGGCGGGTTCCCATCCCGTCCACAGGCCAGCATCCCTACCTCCGCCTGCTTCCCAAAGACGGGGGCAGCAGGGGCGGAGCCGGAGAGGGCCTTGGAACCTTCTGTGCGACCTTGACCGAGCCCACTCGGCCCGGCAGAGGGGAGGGGTGCCACAGGCAGGGCGGTGGCTGTCCCCACACCTCAGCCCTCTCTTTCCTGCAGACTTGATAAAAGGCCTGCTGAATGAGCCGTCCTCCGTGAAGGTAGACGAGGTGAGAATGGAGTGGGGGGGCCGGTTGGGAGGTCAGGAGGGGCTCCCTCACCACCCAAGTCTGCCCACCTTGCTGGGGTTTGCGGGGTGGGGGTCTTGGCTCTTCTCCTCCTCTCCTGGGTCCAAACCAAGACTCCGCAGCTTGCTGAGTGGGACTCACAGGAGCGCCAGTCCCCCTGAACTACAGTTTCTTCTCCTGTGAGACGGTAATGAACAAGGACACCGTGCATCTGTCTCGTGGACACAGGGACGTCTGTGTGTTCATCCTTATCCCCTCCTGATTTTCTCCCAACTCGGCCAGCACAGGGTGGGCTGGGGGCCACGGCTGCCTTTCATGCCCTGCTCCCCCAGGTGTTGCGGTACGAGGCCGGCTATGTGGTGTGCGCTGTGATCGCGGGCCTCTACCTCCTGGTGGTGCCCACCACTGGGCTGGGCTTCTGTTGCTGTCGCTGCCGCCGGCGCTGCGGGGGCCGCGTGAAGACGGAGCACAAGGCCTTGGCCTGTGAGCGGGGCACCCTCATGGCCTTCCTGTTGCTGACCACCCTCATCCTGCTGTGAGGGACTGCCCAGGCCAGGTGGGGGGCTGGGTACTGCTAAACCCCCCGGAGCCCCCAGGCACCCCGCAAGCCACTTCCTCCTCTCCTGGCCCCCACAGGATTGGTGTGGTCTGCGCTTTTGTCACCAACCAGCGCACACACGAGCAGACCCGCCCCAGTGTGGAAGCTGTGCCTTTTTTCCCACCACTGGGCTGGGCTTCTGTTGCTGTCGCTGCCGCCGGCGCTGCGGGGGCCGCGTGAAGACGGAGCACAAGGCCTTGGCCTGTGAGCGGGGCACCCTCATGGCCTTCCTGCTGCTGACCACCCTCATCCTGCTGTGAGGGACTGCCCAGGCCAGGTGGGGAGCTGGGTACTGCTAACCCCCCGGAGCCCCCAGGCACCCCGCAAGCCACTTCCTCCTCTCCTGGCCCCTACAGGATTGGTGTGGTCTGCGCTTTTGTCACCAACCAGCGCACACACGAGCAGACCCGCCCCAGTGTGGAAGCTATGCCTGAGACCCTGCTCAGCCTGCGAGGCCTGGTCTCTGACGTCCCCCTGGTGAGCACCAAGTCCTTGCCTTGTTCCCACGCGCCCTGTGCATGCCAGGCCAAGGCAGGACAGAACAGAGCTTGGCCTCTGTGGCCTGCAGCCTGCACACATGGCTGCCCCTGCTGGAAGGTCGCTGAACTGTGTATGGAGACCCATGGTGTCTTCAGGGCAGAAGGGACAGGGGTGGGTAGCTCACAGTCCTGTGTTTGCCTAGGAGCTGCAGGCCATGGCAGAGCAGTTCTCCCTGCCCCAGAAGCAAGTTTTGGAGGAGCTGGATGGTGAGGGTCCCCTCTCAGGCCTGCAGGGAAGACCCCTGTACCTTTGTCTTGAACTCCACTGGAGACACCTTCACAGAGAGGGGACAGTCGCAGCAGATGCTCTGCTGCAGGGTAGAGAGGCCAGAGCCCACCTTGCAGAGTTCGGGGCTAGGGCCTGGGGAGCAGGAAGAGGGGGATGTCATCAGTTTCTGGGGCCAGCCCTGCAGCATGTCCTGTGCTCTCCAGGGGTTGGTGAGCGCCTTGGGAACATTGTGCACAGCCAGCTTGGGAGCATAGTCTACCCGGTGCTGGCTTCTATGGACAGCCTGGGCAAGGGTGAGTTGCACCAGTGCCTAGGCGGGGTGGGCCCAGCAGCTGTCTCCCCACAGGCCCACCCTCGTCCAACCCTGAATTTTGTGTGCTCCACCAGCCTCGACCCCACCCAACCTTCCCATCCCCATTAAGCCAGGATCCTGGGCCTCAGGCATCCCTACCTCTTTCCCAGATGAGCACTTTCCACTGTAACTCTAGATGTTAATGACTACGGGTTCCTATGGCATGGGGGGTACCCACCTGCTGGGAGGCTGCTGAGGATGTTGGGAACCATGGAGACTACTCAGACCATGTGTGGGTCTCTCAGCCTTGCAGGTCGCCATGGACCACCTCCATGCCCTGAACACCACCTTGGTGGAACTGCAGAAGGGGCAGCAGCACCTGGAGCTGGCTGTGCAGAAGCATAGGGACCACCTGCTTGCCCTGTTGCAGGAGCCTGGGTGCCAGGGGGACTGTGAGAGGACCCTGAACCAAGCCCGAGCCCTGGAGCTGGCTGCCGACTTTGTCCAGGTGCAGGTCCAGGATAGAGGCCACTTGGAGTCCAGATGAGATGCTCTACCTGCAGCCAGTGGTCCCCTCCCATAGGTTATCCCTAGATGGTCAGTGACCAGCACCCTGCCAAGGAATCAGGAGCTCTCCCAGCCCCACATAGCACCTTAAACTGTCCATATGTTAACTCCTGGGTCCTCACCACCTTCCAGAGCATAGTGACTGCAGTGGTCCCCATTTTACATATGGGGTACTGAGGATTCAGAAGCATCTGCCCATTTCCTCCTACAGGGATTCTCTCAGGCTTCTCTGTAGACTTTGCCCCTGCCATTTCAGGTGCCCTCCATAGACCACGTCCTGTACTGGCTACAGGGAGTCCCAGAGGCCAATTTCTCTAGCATGGTCCAGGAGGTGAGTGCCCATCTGCCCATCCAACCCTCCTCCTGGCTCCTAGAAAAAATGGAGGGGCCTTACTTTCTCTCTTTTGGAGTGGGAATCCAGTTGAACCTTTGATTTGAGACCATACCTGTCACCTGGTGTCCCAGGCTGCAGGCTCCTGTCACCTGTCTCAGAGAAGCATGAGTCTGATGAGGGAGGAAGGGAGGTCTCAGAAGGAGGCACTAGGGCCCGGGTGGGGACTGTGGACAGCCTGGAATGATGCCCTTCAGAGCCCTCAGGGTGCAGTGGGAGAGGGCATCCTGTGAGTCAGAGCCTCTGAACCAGGCCTGGAGTTGGGGAAATGGTGAGTCGGCTGAGCAGTGGCTGGAGCAGAGCGGTACCAGGAGGACGTGGGAACTGAGGCAGATGGGATGGGAGCTGGACTTCTGGAAATGGCCGGTAGTGGCCTGTGGAGTGGGTGGGAGTGGGGAGAGGATGTCTGGGAAGGGGCCGGGGATGGAGACAGGCATCTGCAGGGAGCAATGTTTAAGGTGTCCAGTCAAGCCTGACTGAGAAAAGGAAAGCCAAGACCAAGAAAAGGGATGGCTTTAAGGCTCTACTGTTCAGTGAAATAAATCGGATACAGAAAGTTAAGTATTGCGTAGTTTCTCTTATGTGAGAAATCCAAAATATAAATAACTTAAAGGGCCAAATAAAAGAGAGATGTTAGGAAACAGGGAGGTCAATTTTGTGGCAACGGGAAGGGGATCTGGGGAAGGAGATGAGAGAAAAGAGGGGAAGGGGGTGAACGTGATCAAGTATGTGTTTAACATGCAATTATTACACACTGTGATAATGTGTACTAGTAAAATCTAGTATTGCTGGGGAACTGGGGGGAACATCCTCCCGCTGGGCCTTGGGATCCCCACACTGGGACACAGGCCCAGGGCAGGAGGCAACGCCGCCCTTGGTCTTGTAGGAGAACAACACCTTCGGCAGCCTCCCGCTCCTGGTCGCCATGCAGGCGGCCAGCGTGGTCCAAGGTGAGCGTGGTCGGAGGCGAGGCCCGGGCCGGGTGGGGCCAGTGGCTGCCTAATGTGCCACCCTGAGAAGGTTGTCCCCCTGGGCTGGGCCCTCAGTGGGTGGCTCTGGGGTCCCCTAAGCCCCTGTGGCCGGCAGATCTGAAGAAGGCAGTGGTGCAGCAGCCAGAGGGTGTGAGGACCTTGGCCAGTGGCTTCCCGGGCTCTGAGACAGCTTCCCGCTGGAGACAGGCACTGGAGCAGCTGGAAGAGCACAGCCGCCCCTACCTGCGGGACGTGCAGCGATACGAGACTTACAGGTGTCAGGAGGAAGCTGAGGGGTCGGGATGGGCTGGAGCCTCACTGCTTCCACCTGTTGCTAAGCCAAGACCCTTGGCTCCTCGGGCCTTTGTCATGGGGAGCCCTCCACCCTGCAGGAAG